ATACGACGTAGAAGCTTGCTGGAAAATATCGTGAACCAGAACGACCATAGGAGGTCAACCAATCGCTGATACTGAAGAACAACAAAACAGATGGACAGAGCTCTTCGAGGAACTCTTGAATAGACCAGCCCTACTGAATCCACTGATTGAAGCAGCAGACACAGACCTACCAACAGTTGAAGCGATCGGCAAAGAAGAGTTACCAGACGGATGTACTGAAAGCAGATGTAGGAGTAGATTCAAAGATACTCCATATTCTCTTCAGCAAGTTTTGGGAGGAAGAACAAGTATGAACAGAATGGGAAGGAGGGCATCTTATCAAGAAACCAAACGAAGGACATATCGGCAAGTATGAGAACTACGGAGGCACCAATCTGCTCTCAGGAAATGTGTTCAACAGAGTGTTGTTCAACAGAATGAAAGATTACATATGTAGAATATTTTTTGAATGTTTTTTTTTGGAAAATCCCTCCATGTATATATATTTGTGTTATGATATGACTGACTCTTTCTGTTGATATTTTGGTACTCCATTTGATTCCATTTTGAGATTTTATCATTGTATATTGTTATTATTTCTATATTTTGTACTTATATTGAAGTTTTTATGTTTGCTTCTGAACTGTACACATGTTGTTTAAATTTTATATTTAATATGGTTACAGCCATATTTGGATTTGATACCGTGGCAGCTAATACAAGTATCACTTATTCTTTTGGATTCGGATACCCATCAGGGTAATTTGGACTTGGAAGGTGTATTAATTGTCAGGTAACTGTTTGTATTTCCATTTTATTATAAAAATAGACCGCTTTCTCCTAGAATTATTGTGTTCTGATATTGGATTGGGGGATAGCGCGTTCGGCCTACACCTACTGGAATCAAAGTGAACTGCTAGGGTAGAAAATTCATCTACAACATAGTCGCCCGATTTCGAGATCACAAGGCTAGATTCCATTATGACAGGTCATCGGTAAATATTAAATGGAATGACACTCATCCCTTTACAAGAACTTCCTTGAATACAAGAAAATATTTGACTGATCGAAAAGAATGAGTGATTAGCCTCAGATATGTATTTTCGGAAGTCTGTAGTCATAATACCATATCAACAATATTATCACTAGTGATCTGGGTTCAATCCTCACGTTGATCATGAATTATTCACTTCCTGAAGTGCAAATCTTCAAAATTCTTTTGACACTGCTGATCAACTTATTTTGCTTGTCACATATTTAAAAAACAAAAGGGTATTTGAAGATTTATTAGTTGTTTCCTTAGATTCTTTTCTAGATTTGAACTGTAACTCGACGGAGAGCCTAATTATACTTTGTGAATTTTAACCACTGTTGTTACAAAAAGAACAGAAAACAAAGAATTGTGGGATTCATGAATCTACATAATAGTGGATATCAGTTTTCCTTGTGTATATGTCACTGAATCGATTATAGCTTCTACATATGGTCTCTTCTCACCCACAAGTTGCTTGTTCACCTCTTATTGTTTAAAAATCATGGTTACTCGATTAGTAATCTCCTTATCTTCCTCTCAAAACATGTTGATCAGGTACTTATTGTCATTTATTACTTCATAAACATTGTTGACTAGATATTTGCATACGTGATTGTATGATAAACCTAGGTTTAAACACATAACTTTGTTAGTTTTTCTAGTTCTATGATGAACAAGTTGCGAAATAAGTGAATTCTGCATTCGAAAATCAATCCTTTGTAGATAAGCTACCTGCACTGATGAAACTAAGAGATGAAATCACAAAATTTTGAAGTCACCAGTGCACATTTTTGAGGAATTACAGGTTTAGACAGTAAGACTACACAGGCTCGCTCAGATATATTGGTTTTTCAGTTTTGACTCACAATAATAAAAGCTTTCAAATTTATACATAGCTGTAAAGCTTCTTTACTTAAATGTTTGTTTCATAGTCATCTATGAAAGTCTAAGCAAAACAATCATTTTTTCTTCGCATTGAACGGTTACCGCAGGTTGTGAACACTTACAGTTGAAACTTTTTCTGTTTCACTAAATTGGCGGGTAGTAAATATTATACTTTTCCACATAGTGGTCATTTATATAATCTCAAGACTAGCAATAGCAGAATGCTTTCACATCACTAAACAGGAATTTATTCTTTGAAGCTTTTGTTTTCAGTCAATTTGTGATAAAGTATGACCGGTATCGTTATTAATAATAACTAATTCACCAACTTTGTTAGTCGTATATGAACATTGCTAAGCAGCATGAAAAGGGAGTGGAACATACTTTTTGTATCATTTCATATTATTTAACCATAATGCATCTCTTTCCACGCCAATATATTAATACAATCAGATAAAATATCTGAACCCCAGCATACCAGAAGAAGGGATTTAGGAATCAAGAATATCGAGATGTGAAAGTTTAGACGTCAGAAACAAGTCAGAAAGTGCTTTGCTTAATCGGCAAATTCCTAAGTCAGACAGGGAGTCAAACGAAGGTGTCTTCATGTAGAAGAAAGCCATAGTTAGGGGGTTAGAGGTTTTTGTCGCTGTTGTGATAGTCTCTATCTGCCCCAATAGCAAGTTACTATGTGTAGAAGTTATCAGGTTTACCCAAGGGAAGGGTTCTGTGAAATGTGTTTCAATAATGACGGACTATTTTTTTCGGCGTTACTGAATATCCACTCTTCGACAACGATATTTCATAGTCAGCGATCTTCGTCCTGGTGGGTTTTATGCATGTCTCCTTTCTGATTAGCAGATGGAAAAGTGGTACCAAAAATATCTAATAGAAGTAATAATGTTATTGAGTAATATTATCGATTTCTGAACACCTTATAATTCGTGCGTAACTTATTGACACATATTCCAATGATTTTTCAAAATCTAGACCACCAAATGATCAAAATTTATTAGATTAAGCTGAATTATGACTCTCTCTATAATATGTAAAGCTGTTTTATGTCATTCGTACTCAATGATGTCAAAATACTTAATTTAGTCGGTTTTAGTTTAGTGAGAGAAAAAATTAAGTTGAAAGTTCGAATAAGTTACTGCTTGAAACTTAGGATTAGGAACTTTCACTTTATTCCACTATCTTGTTCGTTCTGGTTATGGCAATCGTTAAAAAGGTTCGCTTCCAAGTTTGAACTTGGGCACATCGAATGTTTACAGAAAAACCAAAAAAGGCTGCATCGTAACATAATCTGTACTGTTAAGAAATGGAGTGAATTTCTCAAGTCAGTTGGTTGAGTAAATCCAAAGTAAGCTTGCACTTAGAAGACAGTGTGAAAGGAAATGAGGTGCCAACACAAGTAGTCTTCGTTGATCGCACTATTATTCTATTTTTTGGCTTCCCCAGCACTTCCATTCTTTGGCTCTGTTTTTGGTTATTGTGTTTGCTGTTCAGGTTCACTATCTAGATATTTGTGATTGATATTGTACCAGTATTATTGTAAAACTGACTGAATTGGTGTAATTATTAAATAAACAGGTTCCCGTGTCATTGTTCGTCCAATAATTCTGTTTTAGAGATAGGGGATAATTAATTCTCAATCTTAAAGTGAACACTCTAGCCGACACATTGCCAAGAATGCTTATTCAAATGAGTCTCTTAACGTTGGTGTTAGAGACAAGTGCTGCAATAAGTACTCAGGTTTTGTTCTGAAAACACATAGTGTTTTCGGTAGACCCGGGGAATGTCCTATCTCCTGAAAGTCAAGCTGGGCGAAAAAGCTTTCTCTGAAGCTCATTTCTCCAAAACCACGTATTCATAACTATTAAAATATCCAAACTCAGCAGTTCTGAGGAGAAATCCGGAGGCTCGCTTGGATGGTACCTTCACTGATGAAGAATATCTGAATGCATATCTCCGGTTAACTTCAGCCCGAAGTTAAAGCGATCAGCTTATCAAATGATGGATGAAAATGAACCGGTCTAAGTTTCTTGTACTTAGCGTAAATGGGTACGACACACTTAGAATAAAAATTTGAACAAGTGAACCATGAAGTTATATCTCTGTTCGTGATGAACACCTTATGAGTCCATCTATGTTAGGCCTAATCTACAATCGTTTTGGTTAGTCTGTCAGTGTTGTACAACTTTCAGGTGGTATTTCTGAAAATGCATGATTAGATATGGACAAGTAATGTTTTTTTAAGGAAGGTGGTGAGAAAAATTCTGTACCATTCGTAGTCAATGCAAAGCGATATATTTGTCTGTAAATTTAAAGTTCTACGACGCCTACTTGTCTCATTATGTAGAACAGGTTAGTTTCTTAGGTGATGAACTGGAATACTAAACTGATAAAAATCAGTTTGTAATATGAATTTCTAAGCCTTTGGAGATTACAGTGACACATTAAACTCAAGATCCTGAAATTTTCACCACATAGTTTCGATACTGTTTACTTTGAAATCTCCACTGGTTCATTTTCAGAATACTGTCTTTCCAAGTAGACACTGTAATACTAACCTACTGACCTCCTATAACAGTGAGACAAAGCGTCATGTAAAGAAAACACTGTTTTAAGTGAAACACTCATAATTTAAGATCACTAACCTGGTCAAACCGAAATCTAGGAGTGAAAAAGATCAAGTGTATTCACTACGTTCACAAATAAATGAGCTAAACAGGCTAATTGTTGTGAGTGATAAGCAACTTTGAACTGGTGTGATCTAATGTGCATGCTTTATTACCAGTCCTTAGCTACGGCTGCATCTAATACAACTAATGAGGTCAGAATCAGTTTATAAGATTCATTACACCGTTTGTTTTGCAGATATACTTACCGTGACAAGTGATAACTTCCTCTGTAAAAATAACCATATTTCATACGAGGATTATACACAACGAACTAGACAGCCTAGTACTTCTGTTTAACAAGGTTTTAAGCCGGCAGTTTGAAGCTGCTATGGAACCACCAGAAGCAAGAAGCAAGCGTAGAGAATATATATTTGACTTAAGACATCTGGTCATTGGAATATTGAGCATTGCATTTAGACCTTGAGATGATTAGCGGCTTAATCTAAGCAAATGGATGTCCGAGATGTCTTATCGTTTGCGGTAGAATATACTCTTTACCTTTTATTTTTATTCAGTCTCCAAGCCCTCAGTTGAAGCGCTCTTTAAAACCTCCTCCTCCACCATCTCTCCAACTTGAATCAGATGCAAAACGACCCAAAGTCAGCGCTGATCACACATCTACATTTTCTGATACTTCTTCTGATGTTGGTGATCTCGAAGGTATTTTTTTAATAACTACCTAAAATACGTATAAAAATCAACTATATTGTTTGCTTTCATGGTTTACTTTGGTGACTTTCGGAAAAAGCTATCTGCTTCGTCCACTAAAGGCCGTATATATACTTTTTTAACCAAATCACAATGAAGCATGGAAATGATCGGAAGCTTCCATAAGTCTTTTAAACTTAATTTGAATTTCGGTACTGCAAACAGCGTTCCGCGATTACATACCTCCAGATGACTTGTGGTTCAATTGTCCTACGTGTCTTCGTAGTGTAATATGACACCTCACGCATAGTGTAATGAAGTCTTTTGTGTAACGAACCTACAGTGCTTTGTATTTTCCGCATGTAATTTGTTTCATTGGTGGTAAACTGTGATGCTTAGAAGTATATGAATCAAGAATTAAAGGTATGCACAAACGAATGTATTGTATTTAGAATTCGAAATCAAGCATTTCACAACAACAAGAAGTTACTAGTTCATTCAAACACCACATCCGCCGCAGCTTAAATTGGAATGTATATGTCTGTAATCAGTGGTACGTCTTCTTCTCAAATTCATCCTGTGTCTGTCCGACAGTGTATTGGATAAAGACTCTGTATTATCTCAGTCAGTCAGTCAGTCAGATGCAACGTAGAACTTTGTACATAAGTACATCAGTTCATGTTGCCATACCACATCAGCACAGAGAAGTAATCGTCAATTCAAATCCAATAGTAGAAGAGGTAGTAAGGGAATTAGAAATAATCGGAGAGGTTAGGATTAGAAGATACTATTCAAGAAGTATGATTCAGTGAGATAAGTTTAGAGAGTCGAAACTAGAGGGGTTGATGAGTCCAGAAGATTAGGATTTGAGAGAACACAGAGAATAAATGCACCGGCGCCATTGCGAACGATTTTGAGCCATGTCATTCAAGGTCTCTAACCATCGATTATTATCATCTCGCGGACCCCAACCAGGTAGTCGACAATTACCAACATGGCTCAGTCCACTCGTCAATGACTTCATGGATTTCTGCCATGTTTTCGTTTGGCCGCCCCTAACTTTCTTCCAACCTATTCCTACACTACAAAACAAGGCTCGACGAGGCAGCCGGTGGTTGGGCATACGCAACACATGTCCCAACCACCTCAACTGGTGAAGTTTCAATACTTCATCGATTGATCTGCCATTCTTACCTAGCACCCGATTCCTAATAACAGCGTTGCTCACTCGGGTGTCCCACGATATACGAGCAATGCTTCGAAGACACCTATGATCGAAAACCATTAACCTACGAATATCTTCTACTCTCACTGGCCATGTTTCACAGCCATAAAGTAAGACGGAGCGAACTACTGCGCAGTACACTCGTCCTTTAGTCAGCAAACGGATATCTCGCCTACGCCATAAGTGACGCAGGTTGGCAAAAGCCAATCGAG